TTGAGTGGCTATCTAACATACAACAATTGACGTCTATTTGTCTGAAGCAAAAGGGAAAGAATGAAACCAGTTGCTTTCACGAACCACAAGCCATGGCCACACTTATCAGGTGACCAGAAGAACTAAGAACTAAATGATGCTCAGCTATCACTACCAACATTTCTGACCAGGAATACAACAGATAGTCCCAGATAGAATGGGAGAAAAGCATAGGACTAAACTAAAAGTATTTTGGGGAAAAAGACCACTTAGAGAACCAGCAGAGATCTGGGAAGCCTCTGAAACTATTACTCTGATACATCCATTCAACTTTGAACTGAAACTACCCCCAGAAGTTACCTTTCAACTAAATAACAGACTGAATCATAAAATACACGGTGCTCCTTTTATATCAAACAATCATCTATTTGATACTACATGGTCAACATATCTCCTAAAGCAAAGATGAGAAGGCCAGGGGAACAGAGAAGCAAGAATAAAGGAAACTCACGGAAGGAGGGAGGCTGTGTGCTGGCTGTCAGAAGGCTGGCTTCTGGAATGTGCCCCTTGGTTGCTTGAATGATGATATATCTCTGCAAGTTGTCTTTCTTTTTATTTCTTGATTATAAAAACACTCTAGGATGGTTTTGGGGGGAGGAGGAAATGATACATGCACTAGAGGATAGACACGCATTGACATGGGTGATGGAGGCAGGCAGGATACAACCTGAGGGAGGTTGGTACAGGAAAGATGGGGGTGGCGGAGACACAGGGAGGAACACACTGGTTAAAGTGACTAGAGGTAAACGCTGTTAACTGTAGGTGCATGGAGGGGATTGCAACCATAAAATGAAGCAAAGTATATGATTTGTTGAATGTAAAACTGATGATTTGCTCTGTAAACCTTCACTCAATTCACAATAAAAGGTTAAAAAAATGAATAAATAAAGGAAACAGAGCAGCCAGAAAGAAAATCATGGGACTGTTGGAGGCAATATGGAAAATGTAACTCAGGTCACTGAACAACTGTGTAGAAATTGTTCATTCAGAATCTAATATGCTGTGTAAACTTTCACCAAAAACTCAATAAATATTAAAAGAAAAAAACAAAAAGCCCTATGGACCACAGTTGTGCTCTGACACACACATGGAGTTGTCATGATGCAGGATCCTCTCAGCTAGTAATGCTTCAAGTTTCATTTATATTTTCTGCTCCTAATTCCTATTGAGTGAGTTAGCTCGCACTCATGGTGGTCCCTACATACAACAGAACAAAACACTGCCTGAGCAGTGCCATCTTCATGAATGTCGTCGGCACACTTAAATCCTATTGTTGTTAAGTGCCGTCGAGTTGGCTCTGACCCATAGCGACCCTGTATAGGTTTTCTGAGGAGCAGCTGGTGAGCTTGAACCACCGACCTTGTGGTTCAAACCAACTTTGCAATCCAGTACATTAACCCACAGCACCATGTTTTGAGTATCTTCCAATCTAGCAGTATATCTTCCAGCCTTATACCAGGTAATATTCTGTTGTGAAAACCACAGGGCTTTCACTGGCTGCTTTTCAGAAGTGGATTGCCAGATCTTTCTAGCCTGTCTTAGTCTGTAAGCTCCACTGAAAGCCGTCCACCTTGGTATTTGAAATGCTGGTGGCATAGTTTCTAGCCTTGCCGCTACAGGAAAACCATTGCAGTATGACAAACTGACGGATGGTAGAATGTGTTTCCCAGGCAATATTTGCGGTATATACTTAAAATATATTCAGTGTTTATCTGACATTCAAATTAATCTAGCAACACTACACAGGACTGTGTGTGTGTGGAGAGGATTCACTTGCTCACTCTGTCCAATAGTGATCTGAGTAAATGTTTTGTTGAGAGGACCTTTCTTCAAATGAAGTCAGTGTTAGATTCTGATACTCACATAGCTAGTATTTCTGCCTCAGGGAAGGAATTGTGCCTGTTTGGGGAAAAAGAACCTCCCTCAGCTATAGTGGGCCACAGGAGGGAGGGAGGGAGCACATGTTGAAACTTGTGGCCCCAAATGTCCACTTTGTTGTGTAACAAAAACAAAAACAGGCAGTAAAATGTCACCTTAAGAACTTCATATGTAGATCAAGCAAATAGGGTAAAATGTTAACCATCCCCTTGAATGTCAACTTTTCTCTTTGAAGCTTTTCATAATAAAATGTTGAAAGAAAAGAATGGAAGTAGGTCTGTGAAGGTCACAAAAGCTCCCTCTTGACGATATTAAGAGACAAGAAGTACTAGTGAATTTATGCAAACCAGGCCAGCTCCAAATATGAGGGGACTTCAGAAAGTTGTGTGGAAAATAGAATGAAAAGATATGGAATTTTCCCACAAAGTTTCTGAAGCCTCCTGTTGTTGCTAGGTGTCATGGAGTCGGTGCCAACTCAGTGACCCTATGTACAGAATGAAACACGGCCGAGGCCCTGCTCCATCCTCAAAGTTGTTATATTTGAGCCCCTTGTTACTGCAACTATGTTTAACCCTTTATTATTGTCAAAGAGTGTGTTAGTAGAAGAAATCAACCAGATCATTGAAAAGCTCTAGAGGACATTGACCAGAGAAAATGTTTATCTGATGAAAAAGGTAGCCATTCTTACTGTTTCTGTTTCCTCTTGTAAAAATAGTTTGCAGGTTACCTAAAGACTAGGCATGATCACATGGCCATTTCTGAGGAATGAAGGACTAAAACCCTCACCTCCTTTTTGACCAATGACCAGCCAACAGCCATTGCCCACAAACCACAAATGAAGACCACAACTTCTAATTTTTGAAGCTGAAAGTTTCTTCCTGTGGACACTTGGTCTTCCTGATTGGAAGGATCCAGGTTTGCTTTCTCTCTTTCAAAATTGCTCCACTGGATTATTCATCTAGTAAATGTTTGTTGTAATTTTAAAGCAGTTTGTGTACCAGAACAGGGCCTATGGCAGAAAGGGGGAAAATTCTAAAACAGCCACAAACTGTCATAAGCATTGAATTGTGTCCCTGCCCTGCCCTAGCCTAAATATGTGTTGAGACCCTGACCCCTGTGTTCATAAATATGATTCTATTTGGAAGTGGGGTTTGTCTATGTGGTCATACAGTGTAGACTGAACCCAAACCTGTTGCTGTTGAGTTGATTCTGACTCATGATGAATCCAGGTGCTATGAGTACAGCTGCTCCTTAGGGTTTTATTGGCTGTAATCTTTACAGAAACAGATCACTAGGCCTTTGTCTGTGGTGCCAATGGGTGGATTCTAACCCAGTTGTAGAGTATAAACTGTACCACCTGGGACCTTACAGCGTAGGGTGGGTCCTAAATTGAATCTCTTCTGAGTTCTAAAAACAGGCAGAATAGACACAACCACACACACATAGGGGAATTGGAAGGCAGCTGCATCTACAAGCCCAGGAATAGTGACAGCTACTAGAAGCTAAAATAGACAAGAAGGAGCCCCCTAGAACCAAGCTCTGAATTTGAACCTCTAGCCTCCAGAACTATAAGAAAAATAAATTTCTGTTCTTTAAAGCTACTCATGTGGTGTTTTGGTAGGACAGTTCTGGAGATAAAGACAAATACCAGATATTGGGCATCTCCATGTAAAGTTTCAGTCCCAGCACCTCACTGTCCACTCTCCTACCCTCTATGGCTCCCCATTTCTTTGGGGCTTAAGTCTAAACTGGCTGAGGCATCCACACGATCACACCAGGAATTACAGTTCCCTGAACTAGCTGTTTTTTCTTTGGACTCAGGGCCTTTGCCTGGAATTTCTTCCCTTTCATCACTGTCTACTCTCCTATCTTCTCCTTGGGATCTCTACTTAAAGCCATACCCTCAGGGAAGCGTGCCTGACCCCCCAATCCCAGCCAGGTCTCCCTGTTATAGTCCCATGTGGCATCCTATCTTTGTCCTCCAGAGCAACTTCCTTATATATTTAAGTCTTCCTTCTGTGTCTGCCACCACCCTTTGTAAATTCCCCAGAGGGTGAAGATGGAACATTCCCTACTATACCCCCAGATCCAAGCACACAGGCTGGCACACAGGGCACTCATTAACTCGTAGTGAAAAAGATTAATTGATAAACAAAAATAAACATCTCACAGAGATGATTCCTCCTCCAGGGAGCCCTCCCAGATCTCCCTGCCCACCTCACCTATCCAGGTGTTAGGGATTGAATTGTGCCACCCCCTCCCCCCAAAAAGCCTATATATATATATGTTGTTGTTAAGTGCCGTCAAGTCGGTTCCAACCCATAGCGACCCTCTAGAGGGTTTTCAAGGAGCAACTGGTGAGCTTGAAGTACCAACCTTGCAGTTCAAACTGACTTTGCAGTCTAGTGTATTAACCAACAGCACTATATATATGTATGTATTTAAGTTGGACTCCTAACCTTTATATCTATGGATGTGATCTCATTTGGAAGTAGGTTTTCTTTGTCATATAATTGAGGTCACACCAGTGTGTCTTAACCCAGTCAATCTCTTTTGAGATACAAGAAGAGTAGAGTAAGCATGCAGGAATGGGGAAAAGTGATTGCCCGTGGGGCTCTCCAGGAAACAGGAAGAAGGATGCCTGAGAAGCTAAGGCAGTGACAGAGAGCCTTTTCCTGCAGGTGCTGTTGTCATGAGTCACTTCCAACTAGTGACCCTGTACAGGTTTTCCCAGGAGCAGCTAATGGGTTTGAACCACAGATCTTGTGGTTAGCACTCCCTTGCTCATCCTACAGTGCCACACCAAGACTCCTCCCCTACAGCGGTGGTGGTGGTGGTTATGTGCTGTGGAGTCAATTCCCACTCATAGCGACCAGGTCAGACACCCTGAATGTGAACTCTTAGCCTCCTGAGCTATGAGAAAATACATTTCTAGTCTCTTAAATCGCTCACTTGTAGTATTTCTTTGAAAGCACCACCGACAAACTAAGATACCAGGTAATCCTACAAGGACAGGAAGAGCTACTTCCTGGGTATGCCCCCACTTCCAGGAAGTCCTCCCAGATTTCCCCACAGCCTCACAGCCTCAGGTCATCCTGGAAAGGCAGAAAGAGCCACTTCTTGGGCATATCTCTGAGGAACTGGTGCTGCTGTTCCTCCATGGGGTCCTGAGATACTTATACCAGGGCCAGTTGGGCCGCCCGCAGAACGTAGAACTCGTCCGTGAGGCGCACGAAGAAGTCCCTGAGAACCGGCGCGAAGGCCTGGCACCAGGGGCAGCATCCGGCGCTGAAGAACAACAGCACCAGCCGGTTCTCCAACTGGAGGCTGAGCTCCTCCTCCGTGTCCAGCTCATTCTGGTCGTTGTTGTTGCGGATCAGGACATGACCTGAGAAGAGGGTGGCCATGGCTGGGCGCAGGGGAGGACTCGGTGGAGGGACCCCACCTGGCCAGCACCAGCTAGCTTGTCTCCTGCGAAGGCCTGCTTCAGGGGACCGCACTAATCTGCTTAAATTCTGACCTGGTGTTGGAGCCTCCAAGCACGAGCGCAGCTCCTACCTCAGGCTGTGGAAGTGCTGTCAGCACATCCAAAATCAGATCACAGGACCTCTTCTTGCTGCTTGCGGTACCAGTTAGTGCCCGCCTGACTGCGCGCCTCACCGCCCTACCACGCAAAATTGAGGAAATCAAGAATCTCCTGCTCACAGTCAGGCGAAAGGATGCCAAATCTGTCAAGAGCAAGAAAAATATGGACAATGTGAAGTTTAAAGTTCGATGCACCAGATACCTCTACATCTTTGTCATCACCCACAAATAGAAGGCAGAAAAGCTGAAGCAGTCCGTGCCCCCAAGTTTGGCCGTGAAGGAGCTGATTTGAACTGCAATAAAAAAAAAAGTAAAAATTCAAACAAAAAAATCAAATCACAGGATTGCAATGAATCTAATTCTACCTGCTTTTTAGTGCTGTCCAGAAGGTCCTGTTTCATACTCATGCCGACCACATATATGCAGAATAGAACTGTACTCCATAGGATTTTTGTTTTTTAAATAATATTTTATTGTGTTCTTGGTGAAGGTCTTTTTTTGGGAGGGGATGTTAGAGGTTGGAATAAGGAGTTAATGTTAGGATTAGGATTATGGCTATATTTAAACGAGGTTTAGGGAGTCCTGGTGTGGCACAGTAGGATAATGTGCTGGACCAAAAGGTCGGTTTGAACCCAAGGTCAGTGGTTCAAACCCACAAGTCGCTCCTCAGAAACACTATACAGGGTCGCCATGGGTCAGAACCGACTTGAGAGGTCACTTAACATTAATAAGGCTAGGCATAGGACTTTGTTGAGTTTTACTTTTATGGTGAGGACTAGGTTAAATTTTCAGGGTAAAGGTTGGGCTAGGGCTAGAACTAAGAGTAAGGCGTGGTCAAGTTTTAAGATTACAGTTAGGTTTATTTGTATGTATTTCTTTCTTGAAATCTTCTTGACTTCCTCTTCTTTAGGAAGTTCTATAACTACTTATTTGTGTTCTTACTGGTTTTTGTGGCAAACAGATTCCCAATTTTCAGTTTTTTTTCTACTTTGGATACTTCTGTATGTGGGTTCCACCACTCATCTGTCAGTTTGTCATATTGTGGTGATTTGTGTGGTGCTATGATGCTGAATATATGAAGAAAGCAAAAAGTCATTGAGAACCCTGTGGGCCAAAGTGTTGCTGACCGTCCAAACCATAGGCTCTGAGGATCAGACTTTAGCCACCTAGCAGACATAGCAAA